GAAACCCTGTCTCGAAAAACAAAAAACAAAACAAAACAAAACAAAAAAGAATGGCACCTAAGGTTCTCCTTTACCCACCACCCTCATACCTGCACACACACACTTTTTTAATATATAAGATTGTCGGGGCTGGAGAGATGGCTCAGAGGTTAAGAGCACTGACTGTTCTTCCAGAGGTCCTGAGTTCAATTCCCAGCAACCACATGGTGGCTCACAACCATCTGTAATGAGATCTGGTGCCCTCTTCTGGTGTGCAGATATATATGGAAGCAGAATGTTATATACATAATAAATAAATAAAATCTTTAAGAAAAAAAAGATTGTCAACTTATGCAGACTTACCTGGTCAAAGCTCTATGGTAAATTAAGGAGCATTTGTAAAAAGAAATGTCCAGGAAATTTCAATTTGTAGCTTCAGGCACCTGGAGTTTTAATCCATTGTGTGTACCTCAGTGGTCACGTCTGAGAAGCCTCCCTGGGGAGGGAGGGCATCTCTAGTTCTGTGGGATGGGCTGCACCTGAATCCTCTCCTCTCTTTATCACACCCAGCTCTGTCCCCAACCATTCTCTAGTCCCTCTTATGTCCCCTCCACAGGGCAACACAGACTATTTCTTGAGCAGTGGTGACAAGGTTCGATTCTTCTTTGAGAAAGGCGTTTTTGACAAGAAAGGTCTGGAGCGGGGCTCTGGGGACACGAGGGTGGGTGGGGCTGGATGAGGGTAGCTACCTCCTGGGGCTGGGAGGGAGCTGAGACCAGCCACCTGAGGGAAGCTGGACTCCAGGTCTTCTGCCTTTGTCTGTTTTTTGTGCCACAGGAAATTTCTTGGTCCCTCCAGAGAAATCTGTCAACAAAATCGGTCATGGTAAGGAGGAGTCTGGGAGTACAGTAAGGAAAATAGGGCATCTGAGATCTGAAGAGTTTAATTAAGACAAGAGCAAAGCCCACCATAAGACGGTAATTGACCACAGGGCTGTGGTGATGCACCCTCTAATCCCAGCACTCGGGAGGCAGAGGCAAGTGGATCTCTGTGAGTTTGAGGCCAGCCTGGTCTACAGAATTAGTTCCAGGACAGCCCGGGCTACACAGAGAAACCTTGTGTGGGTTGTCTGGCTTAGTAGTAAATACATTTATCCACTGAGCCATCTCACTGGCCCTCTTTTTTGTTTTTGTTTTTCCTTTTTTTGTTTGTTTTTGTGTTTCGAGACGGAGTTTCTCTGTGTAGCTTTAGAGCCTGTCCTGGAACTTGCTCTGTAGACCAGGCTGGCTTGGAACTCCTGCCTCGGCCTCCGGACTGAGTGCTTGCCTACTACACATGAAGCCCAGGGTTTCATCTCTAGCACTGTATAAATCAGGCATGGTGGCCTGTGCCTTTGATCCTGGCACACCAGAGGTGGAGGCAGGATGATGGGAGGGTGAAGGTCATCACAGGAACATAGTAAGTCCAGGCCCTGCTGGGACACATGATTCCTGCTGCAAAAGCAAAATAAAACAAAAAAGGATTGAGGCTCTTCACAGAATAGGGTCAAGAAGTCTGTGGCTCTTTGCTTAGTTATAAACAAGCAGGAAGTTTAGAATAGGTAAAAATTTCAAAGTGAGGCCTGAGTCTGGTGTCCAGGGTGTGGGACACAGGGACCCAGGCTGCCCATGTACCTAACTCTGACCCATAGCTCTGCACGCCCATGACCCTGTCTTCAGGAGTGTGACACATTCTCCCAAGGTGCAGGTGAGTGGGGGCCAGAGGCGAAGGTGGGAAGATGTAAAGAACAGATGTGTGTGAACAGCCCCCAGTGTGTGTGTATGAACAGGCCTTAGTGTGTGTGTGTGAACAGCCCCCACTCATGCAGATATACTGCATGTACTGTGGTTGTGTTCACCCTCTATCAATCACTCTGATCTATAACAATAAATCTTTACACCAGGCCACTCAAGTCCTGCTGCCATGTAGGCGCTTCCTGCATGTGTGTATGCGTGTGTGTGCATGTGTGTATGTGTGTGTGTATGTGTATGTGTGTGTGTGCATGTGTGTGTGTGTGTGTATGTGTGTGTGTGCATGTATGTGTGTGTGCATGCGTGCATGTGTATAAGTGTGTGCGTGTGTGTGCATGTGTGTGCACGCGCGCGTGTGTGTGTGTGTGTGTGTGTGTGTGTGTGTGTGTGTGTGTGTGTGTACAGGCCCCAGTGGGTGTGTGTGAATAGGCCGGCAATGTGGCTTTCATCTTCCAGGCTTTGGTCAGAAATTTGGGCCTCCAGCTGCCAGTGGTGGTACAGAGCATGTATATCTTTAAGGTAAACTCTGCAGCCTCCCCATACCTCAGTTTACCCTCTGTAAGCTGATAGACTGTTCATACACAGCATCATCTTACCCTAGGCCAAGAACTGCTGGAACTGTAGTTAGGTTGCTGGGAGGGCCTGTGGAGCCAGACTCCAGCTAAGGTGCTTGGCACTCCATAGATGATCAATTAAAACCTGTTAGAGCCAGGCAGTGGTGGTTCATACCTTTAGTTCCAACACTCCAGAGGCAGAAACAGGTGGACCTCAGTGAGTTCTAGGCCACCCTGGTCTCCAGAGCAAGTTCTAGGATAGGCTCCAAAGCTAAAGAGAAACCCTGTCTCCAAAAACCAACAAACGAACCTGTTGGGAGAAGGAAGAGGGAGCCCAGTGCCCTTGTTCTATTGAATGCTCTGCTCTCAGCTCTTAAGAGCCAGCTCAACCTGACTTACCTAAGAAGCTGTCTAGATCCCCTGGGAAAAGAGCGGGGCCCCCGCAGGGTCAAAGCCTATTCTAGCTATTCCATCACTGGGTTCTGTTTTGTGGACTTGCAGGGTGGGTACATGCTGCCTCAGTGTAGACCTCAAACTCCTGTTGGGTGGAGTGGTTTCTCTTTGCAGCCCTCCTAGACTGAGCATACAGCAGGTGCTCAGTAGATGGGTGCTAATGCAGGGTGTAGGGACCTATAAGACTCAGGTCAAACCCCACTCTGCTCTCCTCTGTCTTGACCAGCTCTTTGCCCTCTCTTGCAGCAACCTCACTTTGGCGGTGAAGGTGAGTTGAGACTGGTTTGCTGTGGGAGCCAGAAGAGGCCTCAGGCTGGAGACAGAACAACAGTGCCCATTGGGTGTTTGAGGGGAGGAGAAACAGTTTCTGCAGTATCTGTGGAATGGACAAGAACCTGGGCCAGGCAGCCACCTTCCATCCCTGCCTAGAATAGTAGACTGGGAAAGGGTCCCTAGAGCCCCTTAGTACAGTGGTCCCAATTCCAACAGCACACTTAGCTGGCTGAGAGCAGAACCCTTGGTCCCACTC